AGGTCGAGCTCCGCGGAGCAGGACAGGGCCAGGTGATCACTGAAACAAGTTGCCGTTAATTCTGCGCTCGTAAAACAGTCTGCGAGGGGCGCACTCACGTACACTCTGTCGAGCCTCGTCGACATGCTGGCCGTCACGAAGGTGTGCCCCGGGTCGGGCCGCAATCGTCGCCACACGTCCGTCAGGCGCATGCCCGCGACCAGCGCCGCGAGTCGCGGGGACCCGTTGGCGGCGCCCGTCGTGTCGCCGTCGCCCAGCACGCAGTTGTAGTCACCGCCGATAACAAGACGTTCCGCGGCCTGCGCCAGCAGGAGCGCGAGGTCCGTGCCGAAAAACTGATCGCGCTCCACCCTGAACCTGGAGCCGGCCGGCGCGTACACTCATATCACCGTCACGTCTCCTACCTGGACTGCTGTGGCTCTCCCACTCGGCAGGGCGAGCAGGGGCCTAGCACTGAGTTCCCTCCTGACCAGGATTGCTGTTCCCCCTGACTCCCGGGTTCGTGTACTCGTCGTATCCAGGCATGGAAAAGACGAGGACCACGACTTCTTGTAAAAGTAGAATGTCAGCCTTCTTTTCTTTAGCCAATGTTTCCAAGGCCTTCATTTTTAGCCCGCTCTTTTGCTTAAAAGCTATATAAGCGGGCTTATGCCATCGCCCTTGTGTCTGTCTGTCCGTCTGTCCGTCTATCCGTTCCCCAAGAAGGACGTGAGCTAGAGGTCTGAAATTTTCAGGGTATTATTGTTGTCACTTCTGGACAACGAAACGGTTGGTGCAAATCCTGTCAACCACCCCTGAGTGGGTCTGAGGGGATAACGAAGAAAAAGGTGGTGGTCTAAGAAGTAGGAAAACAATACTTTTTTAATGATATTCTAAGGGGTAACTTGAGAAAGTAGAGCCCTTTGGGCGAAAATTTCGTCCGTTTGGCTCTATCTCTCACCGTTTAGGCGCTAGAGGGAGTTTTTGTCACAGAAGTGGCCCAAAAGTAAATGTATTAATTTTAGAAAATATTTGATGGTCTCCTAAGGGGTAACTTCTGAAAGTAGAGCCCTTCGGGCCAAAATTTCGTCCGTTTGGCTCTATCTCTCACCGTTGAGACGCTAGAGGGAGTTTTTCTCACAAAAGTGGCCCAAAAATAACTATTTTATTTTAAGAAAATATTTGATGGTCTTCAAAGGGGTAAATCGTGAAAGAAGAACCCTCTGGGCTAGAATGTCGTCCGTTTGGCTTTCACTGTTTACTTACAAAACAGAATCTTTTTCATTTTTTTTCAGGAGTACACTTTTGTCTGAGAAGTAGCCTATGCCGTTGGTTCAAAATTTTCTACTAAGCAGAAGAGTGGGCTTATTTTATGGTGGCACATCATTAATAAAATGTGTACACTCCCATACCAAAAAAACATTTATTTCGTTGTTTTGTTGTACTTCACATGCTGCTTCCGCTCTATCACTAATTAAAGCAAAATCATTGCGGACACGTTCGGAGTTATTTCAGAGTATGCCTGGAAGTGTATTTAACTTCTTCTGGGTCTAGTCCTAAATTTCTTTTCATAGGTGTGTTATTGGATCCATAAGCTAACATCAAAAACTTAGAAGGGATTTGGCATAACTTGCATGTATTCTACAAACTGCGGCACACATAGCCAAAGATGTTCAGCGTATGAAAAGAATGCTTCGTTTGTTGAGTAAGTAGTCAGGTACCTGGCAAAAAGATGGTTCAAAGCGAGCTGTCACTCAAACGGGCCGAAGGCCCGTTTTCCGATGGAAGCTTTGTTACACCATGAAAAAACGGAAGGGACGGGCCGAAGGCCCGTCCCAAACGCCGCCGGCAGGCCAAGCTAGGCCTGCTCCCTGCCGAACCGAGTTGCCGGTGGAGCGATGCGGAGCTGGCAACTTGGTTTGGCGGAAGAGCGGGCCTAGCTTGTTGATTCTGCCGACATTGCACACAAATTAATTGATACAATATTTATTTTGCTGTCCATTCCTTACGATTTTTTGTCGGCGCTTAACCTCTCCTGCCTTCACAACTCCTTGTCAATCTTTTTTTTGGCGTCGCCGGTATTCTTTGGCACCCCTTTGCTAGCGGCCCGGGGACCTTCTTCGGCCGTTTGTTTCCCGATCCTTGCCTCGTCCTACCCCATGTCTTCCTTCATAAAATTTGGAGTAATGAGACTCGTCGGCGACGGGTGCGGGATATTCTCCCCGTCGACAATCGGGCAGCTGATGAAACAGTGCATTTTCTTCGGTTTTTCTTTTTCCATTTCGTTGGTTAGCTGTTGAAACGCATCTAAGACTTCCTTTATTCCCCCGGTCACTTCAGTGTCACGCGCTTGAAGCTGCAGCACGGCGCCGGCGCAGCACCCGCTCGCCTCGGACTCGGTGATGACGCTCACGGGCTCCTCGCGCGGAGTCTCGCCCGTATCTTCAAAATTTTCACAGTCTTCCTCTCTTTTTCTCTTTCTTGCATCTTCCTTTTATCTCAGTCGTGTCTCTTCTTCCAAATCTTCCTCCCTCTTCTTTTCCCCCGTTTTGTTTTCCCTGAGCGGGTCGTCGGCGTCGCGGTTTGCAGTAGAGGTTATGCGGCCCGCCAATCGGTCCGCATACGTGCTTTTCCTTTTTTTCCTGGCACGAAGCCCTTAAATGCTCCGTTGAACCACAGTTTTGTCACGTTTTGGGCTGCCCGTGGTACTCCACATAGACTTGACATTTGCCGACTTTCATAAAATTCGGCAAGTGTCTTTTTGGTGCCATCTTGACAATCCTAACGCCCGTAAACAATCCACAAAATAAACTTTTTATTCCATACGTTTCCATGACCACACTCATCACAGTTCCAAACTCCCTCAGGACAGTTCTTAGCTCTTCTTCATTTACTTCCGTCGGCAGATTCTTCACTCGCACAAACTTAACTCCCATTCCACTAGTTGTCAACATAACCTTAGTTTTGCTGCCGTCTTGGTACTCGAACGATCTTTCACCGCTGTTAAATATTTCCGCCACCGACTCGAACTTCATCTTCAAATAAATCCTCTTCGATCCGCATTCATGCTCAGACTGCAACTCACCCACATCCAGAAAAAGACTCTCCTTCATAAATTTCACAATTTCTGCTGCGCCTATGGCTTCTTCGCATCTCGCTCAAATTCCAGGGTTATAGTTCCCTTGCAAATGTCTGCTGCCATCTCTTCTGTGGAGTCAAACAGCAGAAACTTATCAACAGGTAAAAACTTATTGAACCACTATTTCCCGTTCGAACGATCAGGCACGTCCGCAGCCGTACGTCTGTATCCGACCATGGACAAGAACTGTGACTGGACTGGTAACTGTAGCTCCCGAATGCCCTACCTTGCCGCGAGTTCGTTCCTACAGCTCGGGGAGCACTTTTGGTCCTACCAGATTTTGTCCTACCCTTAAATCCTCCTAATAAAAATTGTAATTGAATAATCGTATCGTTTTATGTCCTACTGGTAATTTTAATTTAGTAAATTATTTTGTTAAAAGATTTCCAAGAATAAATTTTGTTTTGAGTAGTCAAAATTCTAGGTGCAACTAGAATTCGTCCTACCCAAAAACAAATAAATGGAAATTAAATTTAGAAATTCCTGAGGATTTTATCCTACCCTAAAAATATTACAATAATTCTGGTATGACAGAAAATATTTTTTTTTATTATTATCATCACTGTCATTTTATTTTTCGTCTTTGAATATTTTCGAAATAATTCCTGCGCCAAATATTTAAAAAGAACACACTTTGTATTTAAGCCGAATAAAATGCGTGATATGGTGATGATATGTCCTACCGACACGAATCGGCAACCATTGTCCAAGTTCACGAGCCGCATCAAAGTGGACCCTGCTCCGAGGCTACGTTGCCGAAATTCTCATGACGTTGAGGATCGCGGCGGCCGTGCCGGGACAGCTGACAGCGCAAACACAAGCTGTTGTGCTTAGCGCAGAGTGGCTCGCGACGTGACGTGATTCTCTTAGCATGAAGAAGTGTTTTTCCTATCCTGAAGTAAGTACAGCTCTGTAGTTAGGATTCTAGATCTTTCGGGTGTACCTGGGGCCCATAGTTAGATTACACTCTTGTGTTGTCGGGTCCTGGCGTGACCCGTGTGAGTTTCGTGTGCGGCTTGGGCAGTTTAACCTCACACAGTCGTTAGTGTTCTAGCTTCCTCATTGCATTTAATGGATTGTATTCCAACCATTTTGTAGCAGGTGATAGCTGGAAGTGTGTTTGTCGCTCCATAGTGGATCTCTTCATACCAGTTACCAGGTAAGCCACGGTGTGATGCTTCTGTACTATTTTTACTTAGGCTAATGTTTGTGTGCAAAGTTTAAAATAGGATTGCTTACTTTATGCTTCTTTACCGATCAGGCTTGCAGTCGATACAGGTGCAACACCGTGTATTATGTCGAATTAAATTATGCAGCCAACATCCGCTACCTCTGTAGAAGACATGCATTTCAAAATCAAGGACGAATTTGTTGAGGAAGTGATTGATATTGAAAGCGAGGCCACCATTTGGGGAACGCAAGAGGCCTTAACAAGTGAGACGAGAAATCAGGACATGGTCTTTCTTGAGGAGGTAATACT